TTCGTTGGACCATCGCTCACAGCACATGGATGGTCCCCCTGCCTCTTTTTCGCGCTGTTTTTTGATTTGGAAAAACTGCGCGCTAATAGCGATACCAGGAGCCCTTAGTAGCGAAACCAGGGCCTGGTAGCGTTCTGTGTGACTCAAAACCTTAGGCACAGGTGTGGACACACACAAATACCGTGAGCACATCAGACAGCGATCGTAGGCAAGGCTTATTTGTCTCAATCAAAGACAAAGGTGATCTATAGTGGATTGAGAGTAGATGCCACAGACCCCAAGAGGTGGTTTATATGGAACTTTATCTAGAGGACATCTTGGGGTTTGTGCCATCTACTATGAAACCACTGTAAGCATCCGGACCTGAACCAGTTGGGGATTGGGGTTGGCTTCTGGAGTCCCGAGTCGTGCTCCATCGCCTTCACCATCGGTTTTGTTGAAGGTCCGGATCCACGTCACCACGTCGGTAGAAATGGGCCGAAGCTCGGGCCGAAGCTCGGGGGGGCCGTCTTGGGCCGAAGCATACTTCCGGTGGTCCATCGTTGCATCGCTTGACACGTTTTGGATTAACGGGCAAGACAGGCAGCTTCGGCTTCCAAGTGCGTGCTACCGAGGCCCTCCGCCATATACCGCTTACGGCGGTTACGGAGGTTATGGAGGCGCAGTCTGTTTCACGCGGTCACCGGTCACGAAACGGTGCCATCGGCGCTAAATCATGCGGAGAGCAGGAAGATGGACGAAAATAAATGAACTGGTCAAGGACTGCTGTGAATACAGCTGAACTTGAAAACTGAACTATTTGATAGTTCAAGCCCTCATTTCAGCTGAAATTTGATACAGCTGAACTCTTCAAAGCCTCCGGGTTCTACTTCTGCCACTTGGAGAAGTCTCCATTGAAACCCCCGCCATCCATTTTTTTGGGGAAAACATATTGGGAGACCGTTGGTATCAGCGACTGTTACGGTCTCAGCGGAAAGCGGCAGGGGCTCTCAGTACTTCGATCCTTACGGATGACCCGACCGGGGAAAGGAAGTAAGTATCCTTAGGGCTCCAACCATATCCTCAGAAGATGGTTAGACCCCCCTGGCACCCACCCCAACCACCGAACCTCAGGAGGTGGGCCAGGAGCCCTAGGGTATAGACAGGGCTGTTTGACCATTTGGTCCGGTCATACCAAAACAGTACTCAATGAGGTCGGCTGGATGTCCGGTTTCACTTGGTCCAACTGACCTGCGGTTTGGAGTGGCGCGGCGCACGTCTCCCACGCGAGAGTGCTGAAGAGGTGGTGCCAGGAGAGACTTTCATGTGAGACTTTCAGATTACTGTACTTGTTCCCAGACACTCCATGGAGTGTTTAGGTTTGTTGCCTTCGCGGCGGCATGTTCGGATCAGTCATGGACATCAACCTTCTATACTTCCACGCTTCACTTCACTAGTAGAAACGTTGAGAAGCAGGCAGCTGTCCTGGGGTCAAGCTGGATGGTTTTCGTGCCAATCACAATGACTCGCGCTTCCTCACAGTTTGGAGGACCTCACGAGGTGTCCACCATTTCCAAGTAGCAAAAACAACGGCTCCAACGGTTCCAAGCCCCTTCGCTATCAGCTGCAACTGAAGGCAAACTCAACGAATCCGGGCCCTCTAGTCTAGGCCCGACCTCCGCCGAGAGCTCGACCTCGCAGTCTTAGGATCACATGAAACTCACATGGAGTTGCTTCAAACAACGGTGAAACTTTGGAAGACAGAGTCTACAAAGAATCCAGTGAGTTACGGATCACATGTGAAAAAAGGGCCCGCTCTTCCAGAGCGGCCCGCTGATCTTCGGGCACGATCGATTCCATCATCACTCCGAGCTTTTTAGGGTCACCTGGGTCGACTGTTTCACCCGATAGCTCCACATTCTCATAGCGCTCATAGGCTAGACTCAGACCTTCCAAGCTTTCCCAAACCCTCCCTCACCACCTTATGAGGTAGTTTAGCCCTTGGGTCTGGGTGTGTATTGAAACAGGCAGACCTGTTCTGGAAGGTTCGGAAAATAGACCAGTCATGAGCAGTCTACCAGGGGATGGCCCATCCAAAACCTAGGTTTCCCGGAGCAACAAAAACATGGGTTTTTGTATGTGAAAGCCTTTGTTTTGCATGGGAAATTGGTGACCGGGCCCCTGCTACACATTGGTTGAGAGGGGTCCCCCCCTGTTCAACATACCAACCAAGTCTCACGGCGCCGGGCGTTGGAAGAAGGCGGCGCCGCCTATGGTGGTGGCTACGGTGGATATGGAGCAGCCGCACGGCGGAAACGAAGACCCAACGCAAAGACGGGCCGCCGGTTCTTTTCGAGGAACCATATTTGAGGGGATCCAGTTACCACGATGTCGCTGGTAACCACTGGTTCCAGTTCGACTAAAACCATAGACTGAACGAATCCCTGCTTCCTACTACTAGTGGTTTGCCTGGGATCCACTGGGTATCATATATTGAGATGAACCACATCGAGGGGATTGAAGGGGTGTGGACTTCTAAGTCCCCATACATAAATCCCCCAAGGATGGTGGATGAGACGCATAATCCCAAGAGAGAAGGTACCTTGCCCAGACATGCACATAGGGTGGTCAAAACCGGGTGACCCTGGTAGATCACCGACAATGCATAGATGACCAGGTCAATCTACCAGGCAACTCCGGGTTTTGACCCACTGCCACATACCAGGGGGTGGTGGTGTGTGTAGGCGTCCGTGTAGGCAATTCCAGTCTTCCGGGTCTGCCGAGTCCAGGGTCACGATGACCCTGCGGACCATCCATGCATGGAATATACATACCAATGAACTCCCCAAACCGAGTTATAGTCTTGGCATGTCTTGGCCGTCCCCTCATCCCATTTTTTCTTTTTTGGGGTTTCCCATGGCCCCCACAAGGTAACTGTTCCGGACATGGAAGGTTTGGGTCAGGTACCAGACCCCATCCCAAACACTCCATGGGACTGGAAGTATATACAGTGTGTATATATATATAACAATAGTAATAGTCTAAATAAATTTGTTTTTGATTGTTTTTTTTGTTGTATTTTTGTCTGTGCTTGTATTGCTTCTCACTGCTTCCTGCTTCTATTGCTTTTCCTTCTTTTCTGTGCTTGTGTTGTTTTTCCTTGCTTCTCACTGCGTTTGTGCTTTTCCTGCTTTTCTGTGCTTGGTTTACTGTTCCTTGCTCTTCATTGCTTCTGTGTGAATCCTCTTTCTGTCCTTGCTTTTGCTGCTTTTTGCGCCTTCTTTCTTGCTTGGTTTGTCTTTCCTGCTGTTTGTCCTGGTTGGCATTATGTTGTTCCTTCTTCTCGTTTTTTTGTAGTGTAGTGAGTCTCTTTGATCTTTGATTAGTTGATGCTGCCGCTTTTGAGGGGTAGGTATCAAGAAAAGGTAATAAGCATCAAGAAAAATGATACATGATACGCATCAAAGAAGCAACAATACAAATACGCATCAATTAAATTCAGGCGGTTGCTTTTAGTGCCGGGTTGCTGACTATATTTTGATTTCATTGCAACTTCACCCAGCTTTCAACATAGCTTCTTCTATCCATTTGTCTACATATCTGTCTACCTATCTGTCTATCTATCTATCTATCTATTTATCTGTCTATCTATCTATCTTTCTTTCTTATTTTATCTTATCATATCTTATATTTTCTAATCTTATATATCTAATCTTAATCTAATCTAATCTAATCTATCTATCATTCTATTCTATTCTATCCTATCCTATCCTATCCTATCCTATCTATCCGGGATCCGTTCCGTCGACATGCTAAGACGACCGTCGACGTGCCAAGGGTTGTGTCCGCCGACATGCCAAAACCGGCCCTTCGAAATGCCAAAACCCAAAACAGGTCCGTGGACATGCGACAAGGGGTCCTTCGACATAGCAAAGCATGATTTGTCCGTCGAAATGCCAAAACAGGTGCGTCGATGTACGAAATCAGACCTTGGCTATGTTAAACAAAGACTTCCGCCGCCGCGTTGTCGACGGTCTTTCCGGCGTGTCGATAGGTACTACTGGTATGACATTCCACAGTGCTGCTTTTTTGTTGCCCGTACTTCAGCTCCAGCACGAGAAGAGAGCATGGCGTAAGACGAGGAAGTGCTTGCTCAGTTTTAAGAGTGCTGAGTGAACACCCAATTTGAAACCAATCAAGAATGCTGTGTAAGAGGGCATTGGAAATCACATATTGGCGTATTGTATCACAAAGTTGTAGTGAAGCAAGCGCAATATGTCAAGAAACCATTCAGGATTCCAGACGCAGGCTTTACCACAGACTTCTCTCAGCGTATGTCGCCGACATGCGAGCTTGGAAGCCTGCCCTGTTGCTGCTGCCAGTGGGGTCCTCGCTGCCCTGTGCCGAGAGTATCCTTTGCACAGCACAGGCGTGAAGTTTGTGGGAGCTTGCAAGCCCAGTTTTCCTTAAGTGTTTTCTCAAGCGCTTCCAATGGTTTGAGCTTCGACAGTGTATGTGCAAGTGTGGCTGCAGCACTGCAAGGGACCATGCTGTAAGCAAGAGTGTTAGGGAAATAGCAACATGTTCAATCGAAATGCCAGAGAGTGCGCTTCCAATGGTTTGAGCTTCGACAATGCACGTGCAAGTGTGGCTCCAGCACTTCAAGGGACCATGCTGTAAGCAAGAGGGGAAACAGCAACATGTTCAATCGAAGTGACAGAGAGTGCTGGAAATCCCACACTGTATCAAAATGTTGTGGTCAAGCAACGGAACATGTCCAGAAGCCACAGAAGACAAAGGCTGTGCCCCAGACTGCTTTCGTGTTAAGTTGCGGACATGAGCACTGTGTGCGTTCACTGCGCAACCGTGAACGCTACTCCTGCCCGCTTCTGTGCAGAATGCGGTTCTATATAGAGGGCTCCGACCAACGGACCTCAGGCAGACTCCGAATCGGAAATGTCGTCAACGACTGAATCTGGAGGAGCTCAGATTTTCTGGAGGAACAGGAACTTTTAGAGAAAATGGCAGAAGGAGATATCGTGTCGCTGGCGACGGATGGTACATTTCGACTAGACTTTGGGAACTACGTTGTCCAAATTGTGGGGTTGCTGCACCCCACCTGTAGTCTTGGCAAGGTGAGATCAGGGAAGGGTGGCAAGGGTGAGGTGGAATTGCCGCGCACTAGCTTCGCTCCTTTGGCCTTTGCTCTCCTGGAGTCCGAGAAGACGGACAGTTGCGTGGAGTTCACAAGGTGGTACGAGCAATGGCTTCGCGTCTATTCTCCAAAGGCGCATGCGAAACTCATGCAGTGCAGCGTCACCATCAATGATTTCAAGGAATCTGGAGAGCGAGCCTTGCGCGTCTTGTGCGCAAGTCCACCGGTGCATCGCCATTGTGCTGTGCACATGATCCGTAACTGTACTCAAGCTGGGTACACTGGATGGAAGAAGTTACGCTCGCACAAAGCGGCCTCCACCTTGAGGCAATACCTTTTGCATTTGCAACACGCTTCCAGCTTGGTGGTTTTTGACATGTTGTCGCGCCATTTGCTACTGCTGGTGCGGCATGAGCTTGAAGAAGCAGCCTCTCATCACTTTGGGGGAGAGGGAAGGGTGCGATGGCTGTATGGTTGTTCAGTTGTTCTTATTGGTTTTGCTTCTCGCCCGAACGGACGGCAGTCCAGAATGCGGCGGCAAAGTAGTAGTCTATCTCAAGCGTTTTTCCCGCAATGATAATGTTGACTGTGTCCTGGGGCCTCATTGATTGTATCTTTGTTCCATTGGATCTATCTTAGGTGCTTTCGGAGAAATTCTCAGAGAAAAGCATTCCACATGGGAGATTGCTGGGCCGTGATTTCAAAGAACAACAGAAAGGCTTTGAAGCGAAGGTAGGATCGTTCGTGACGTCAAGCGACTCAATCTACAAAAGTGCAGAACAGTTCGATCTCTTGCTTTTGGACGAAGCTGCAAAGCAAGTGATGGGCCAAGTTTTGGTAGCGATGCTGTTCCAAAAGAGAGTACGCAAAATAGTACTGGTGGGTGATGGCCACCAACTGGAGCCCTTTGTCCATTCATGTCGTCCTCTGCCGACATATTTTTTAAAGTCTGCTATTGTGAACGCCGGAGCTCCAACTATAGCCTTGGATTTGAACTATAGAGTTCCTGCGGAGAGAGCTTCAGCTTTTCAATGAGGGAATATGGAATGCTCTTCACGAGTTCGTACAAAGTTGCAAATGGAGATAGAGTCAAATGGATTGAATACATGAAAAGGATCTTTGAAGAACGAAAAGGAGGCTTCCGTTGCTGTTGGATGCTACTCTGACATTGTTACCAGAACAGGAAAGAGGCCATTGATCATCAGTCTTTATGCAGCACAAGCATCCTGTTTCCATGAACTTTTGTCCACGCGGGGCTTTGACCCTCAGGACAATGTGACAGTAGATGCATGCCAGGGGCTGACCAATTCCATATGTTCATTTCATTTGTATCCCTCTATAGTTCGGGCAGAGCGGTTTCCGCAGTCTTTTTCCCCAGCCGGGGAAGGATTGGGAAGGGATCGAAAAGGGAAGGATTTAAACCGTTGTTGCCACATCACCTCTCACCTGACCACATCTAGATAATGACAAGGCTATACAAGGACCATGACCAGTAGACACCGATATAAGGACTGCAAATTATATAACAATACTAGTATGGTGGCATTTGGTGATCTACCTAGCGTTCTACCTGGGGTTTCAACTGCCTAGGTTTTGAGGGGCTAAGGGGTGTTTGGAGCGTTTGGGCACGGCTGTTTTTTCTGACATGATGTTCTGAAGCCGAGGCATATGGTGGCAAAGGCATGGGCAAGGCGAGGGGTTTGCAGTGAGAACGGACTGGGGCGAAACACATGTTTTGAGTTTTCCCGCATTGTATATAGAGGTAGTGTGAAAGGCTACCATTTCAGTAGGTTTCACAATGCAAAATTTCCACGAAAAAAAGGGGTGAATATATTTGTGTTTCTACTGAATCCCTTAATGTCATTAGTAGCTGTTCATTTGGTCCATTTCTTTCGAGGCACAGAAAAACTGGTTGGGGTGAAGAATGGTGAAAAACATCAAAATGACCCATAGAGAAAACTTGAGAAAACCGTTTTTTGTAGTGATTTGACTGCTTCCTATGGTGCATACATGTTGATAAAAAACAAAAAATATCAAGATAAATTGGATTCAACTGGTTTTTAAATCAATATGGGTTTTTGTGTTTTGAATTTAACAGGGGGTGTTGCTTGGGTGTGTTTTTTTTCCAATGGGTTTTGGGAGGTCCTATTCCATACACACCTACATGTTCCCGTGAACCACATCGCCTGTCAGCACAATGGTGACACGACCTTGCCACAAACGGCAGGACTATGGTGGCTTTGGCAAGGGCTATGCCCCCTACTGATCGCCCAACAAAATTCTTGCATGAGGGTCGTGCACAATTCACGAAACAAGAAGAGGTGGATCCCTCAAGATGGGGAGAGCAACAATTCATGATGTATTTTCAGTGCCAAATTTTCACCGCATGTGCATTTCATGTAGCAATGAGTCCCTTTGCACAAGATTCACACTTGTGGCTGTCAAGGCCCTTGCAGCCTTTGCAGGTGGAGACAAGGATGCCCTTCCATCATTGGTAGGGAAGATTGCTGATTTCCCTCGTGAGGAGTTCAATTCCCAGAGAAAACCATGGGCAGAAACATGCAGAAACCAGGTAACCAAGGAGCCCCACCACCCGCAAAATTTGTTGGTTCTAATTATATAATTCAAATTGTAGTTTAGATGGGGAGTGCTGACTATGCATAGTTTGCTTTGTCCCTTTCTGGATGCCACCCTGTAGCTCGAAAGTGAAGTTTGCTGCTGCGAAGCTGCAGCTGAGGAGTTTTGGTCACAGATCGGATGAACGCTGTGTCAAGCAAGGCACGGAGAGGAGCGTGTGGTATGGAGACTATTGGCGAACAAAGGAGTGGAGCTCGGCGCTCGGCGCTTTCGGCGCTTGGTGTTCGGTGGATGTCTAATTCGCCCAGCTAGGCATCGTTCGCCCAGCTGTGCCCGGTTATGCATAGGAAATGATGGAACCATTTGCAACAAAGGTGCTGAAAGGTCGCCATATTTTGCGCCACAAGACGCGAACTTCAGGTTCAGTCACCATCCAATGATGACTTGATGAAGGCTTCATTGAAGGCTTCCAGATGGATTGGTATCAAAAGCAACAGACATGACTGATTGAATGAAAGGACGGGAAACGACCCGATGTGATGTTCCGGTTCGTCATGTGGTGTTCTGGTGAAAACACTTAGGGGAAGCCTCAAGGACTATGATTATGACAATGTATCACGACATCATGTTGAGGTGAAATTCACCAACAATCATAAGGCAATTATCACAAGTGTGCACTCGTGTGTGCACTCATGCTGATGATTTCTTGGGCTGTTGCGGGCTCAAAGTTCAAGGATGAACAACGCCACAAACAGAGCATTGATACTGATACGAAAAGGGAACAATGCACCAGGTGGTATGTTTACAGCCTTGACTTGGGAATATTTTTCACCCACAGATTCAGATTATGTGTTTCGTTTTGACCAACCGGCAGTCGACTCTCAGAAAGGGTCTTCCTATACACTGCTCGGATCAGGAGTGACAGGATGTGATGCAGGCTCTTCGGCGCAGCTGGCTCCAAGCATTTTTGCAGGATGTTCGACCCCTAAGCACCGAACCTTTAAGGTAGTTGAAAGTGTAAGGCCCTGTAAGGCTGTTAATAACTCAAGGGAACATGCTGAGTGTCTCATTGGTGTTGCGATGATTTCATGAAGGCAACAGGCTGATGCATGCGGCAACGCATGTTTGAAGGGACATATTTGCAAGGGTGTCACATGTTTGAGCAGTTTCAGACAAGACGCTGATGGACCAAAACACAATCACACATAAATATATATATATATATACATACAAAAACAACAACATGACATGACATGGCCAGGAACCTGATCATGGCAATGACAAACCTGCACATCGTATGTGTGACGGTGCGTGAGAGCTGACCATGGCCCTTTGCAGCGATGGATGCCAGGACTAAAGGGGTGGGGAAGCGATGGATGCCGTGATGACATGAGTCGATGGCAGAGAGGATGGGCCGATGTGGCTGATGTGGCTTGGGTGTGTTTTGATGTTTTTTCTTTTGATTCAGCTGCTTGACATCCGGGAAAAGCCATGACACCTTTTTACTTGGCGTGGCAGCTTTTTTATTCGCCCTTTTTTTTTGCTGCTAAACGGGCCACATCATGAAGAGAAGTGCTTGCTGAATGAAAAGGATTCAGACACTCTGCCTGGTTTTGCTTATGGTGATTCTGTATTTTTACATATCAAACATTGTCATAGAATCGGATACCTGGACCCTCCAAGGGGTGTCCAATGGACTACCCCACACCTATACGCTTCCAGACAGGGCACCCGGTCGTGTCTGTGTTTGATTTCACTAATCCCCGAGGTGATTCCTGGCAATACACTGAGCGGTCGCTGAAGGTGTAGGCCATAAATGGCAATAACGTTATCACCTCTTCCTGCCTGATCGCCACACCTCTGCGCTTTCCTTCAGCAGCCGTACTTCTTGGCCATGCATCGAGCATGGATTTTTGAGTTTCCTGTCCAGGAACCGGGACAAAAAGTAAAACAATGTAAAAAAACATACCAGGACCTCCAAGGCCATCTGAGCAACGTCATAAACCTCTATGAAAGAATTTAGGTAGGACTTAAGATTATGAATCTGTGCGAAAGGAAAACTGCAGTTGGGGAAAGCTTGGCGAAAGGTTTGGAGAAAGGCTCTGATTTTTTTTTTTTATGAATGGATTTTGTTGCGAAAGGGTTGGCGAAGAGGTTTTCAGTACAAAGCATGTCATCCAAAGATTCCTGATAACCAGGCGAAAGGTTGGCGAAAGGTTCGCGAAGATGTGGCGAAAGCAGTGGTTGCAGATTAGGAATGATTCCCCTTTGCTGATACTTTTCTTAGATGTAAGTAGCAGAAACTCGGCGAAAGGGTTAGCTAAAGAGGTTGTCGGGCGAAGTGGGTCGGCGAAAGCAAAACATGCAGCCGCGAAAGCGTTGCGAAGGGATTGGCGAAAGGTTGTTATATATAATCTTAATAAAAGTTCCGGATGGTTTTTGACACCGCTCATCTGGGACTGGATTATGTTGCATACACGACCGCCGCGGTTGATTTCAGGAGGTCTGTTTGGGGGCGGCAGTCCTATACCAGTCCCATGGATCGTCGTGTCTTTCAATTGTTTGACCGGAGTATATTGGTGACTCATGAAGGGGTCCAAGGCCAAATCTCTGAAATCAACCACCAGGAAGCCATGGACTTCAGCAACATGAAAGGATATAACAACACCGACTCGGCCGACACCCAACTCCATGGACAGTGCATAGAAAAAATGTAAAAACAAGGGGATCTTCCAACTATAGCCGGTCTTCTTTCTCACATTTGCTTAACCTTTATGCATTGATAGCCGGTATCCAGGCCTATCCAGTTCTCGACCTGTCTGACTGTGTGGGTGTTCCACACGACCTGTGCAGCCGGTCGCGTCGCGTCTTCGTGGAGCGAGTGGAGCGACGGAAAGCGCCTCTCCAGGAGCTCTGAGGCCGGTGGAGAGGGTGGAGAGGTCGATGGTGCGTAGCTCGGCTCAGCCTGAAACAAAACCGCCAGGGGTCTACGGCACGAACATCCGTGGAGGAGGTGCTTTTTGTGTGGAGGTGCTTAGCTTCCGGAATTCATCAGGTTAAAAAAAGGAACTTCGGTGTGCCATGTATCATCCATGTATCATCATGTATCCACCTGAAACTGCAAATGGCTGAATTTTCCTGGTCGTACGGCCGTGGCCGTTATTTTTGGTCATTACGGTTTGCTGTTATTTCCGGATTGTTTTGGTAATTTCCGGGAAAAGCCCAAAATATGTTTTGGGCATTTATTGGGTTATGTTGTTTTTTTTGGGCGTTGTTCGGGTAGTATCCATATTTGGGTCAAATATGCCCAAAACAACCAGCGATTTCAGTCATTTGACTGACATGTTTTCTGGTCATTACGGATAAAGCTGAACTTTGACCATATTCCCTGGTCATTACGGCATATTCGCAAAATGGCTGCAACAAAATCAGGCAAACGCGACTCCAGGCACATATATGCCTTAATTAATGGCCTAATAATCATATCAAATTCATTCAAATTCAATTCATATCAAAGCGCATCCTTCAACCTCATCTTCTTCAGACACCCTTGGCCCGTGGTTTTCTCTCTTTTTACCGAGACGTCTGTGCTTTTTGTGGGAGAAACCTCGAGCAGACTCAGCAGAATTTGTGTGTCGAAAGCAACACACGCAAAACTGCCTCGAGTCGGACGGAACTCTGCGTGTGTTGGATTGTTGAAACCTAGGCTGGGATGGACCTCCGACTCGTACGTCGTCACGTCGTCCATTCACTTTCGATGAGGGAAAACCCAGGCTTCCCCGGTTTTTGTGGGGACCCACAGCCAATTGGGTGGAGTGTGTATGGCGTGTGTATAAGATGGTCGACGCTCACAGCTACAGCTATACCATATATCCCCAATCCTGGGCCCCTGTCACCATCCACAAAGCAGGCTTTTCTTGTACACTAACCCTAGACCTCCAAGTACCTTCGTTTCGAAGGTGGGACTGGGGTGGGTGCGAGGGTCCAGTCATACCTTTGTTTCGGAGGTGCGACTGGAGGTGGGTCAAGTTGGGTTTCTGGAATGGTCCGCCTCGCCACGAAGAGCTCCGACCGACCGACTGGAGTCACGAAGAGCGACCGAACCGATCGACCGGAGGATGCGCAGGACTTCTCCCCGGCGGGGCAGCGCAGCCAGGGTGGACTCGAGAAGTGGAAGCACCTGGGTTTCCCCAGTCCCAACCAGAAAGCAGTTGGATGGAATGAAACCCAGTGCTGGAGCCACTTTTCATGTAAAGGATCTGAATCTCAAGCTGGCGCCATATATTGAGTTCCAACATGTTCCAACCAGAAACAGAGTTTCAAATCCAGTTAGCAGCATTGCCCTAAGAATCCGGGCCGGTTGCACGCATTGCGAGACGGTTGCGAGGCGGCAATGCACTCCACCCAAAGGCTCAGAAAGGATCCAACCCGTTCGCTACGGTTTTTGACCCTCACAACTAGGGTGACATGGACCGAACCAACATGATCCAACATGTAGCAATTGGTTCGGGTCACTGAGCGTCTGGGCACCACCCAAAAGCCTTGTTTTCTGTGGACATCGAAGGATCCTCCACATCAGCTGACTGTGTATTCAAGCGGGGGATCGTCGCTTTTTCGGGTGTGAGAAGGCACTGATTCTGAGTTGAAGCAGGCAGTGAAGCAGGGCAAACTACCAGGAGTCACAAAGGG